CAAAAGCAAGTAAAACCTTCACCCAAGAAGAGAAAAGGTGGATTTATTAAATTTAGATTCGGTGGGTCAAGCAGGAAGATTAGCGCYCCATCAGGTATTTMATAAAGATWGCGTAAGACGTGAATCTTAATTATTTTTCAAGCCGGTACTATGATTAAGCATAAAGTGAAGATTCAAAAACCCTTGCTATAGATCTTACATAAATACAACTCGACTGGCATTGTTTCCTTTTGTAGACATTTGACTACCACAACTTTTTGTTTCACGGGTTAGTTTCTTCACCTTATCAAATATCTAATGCTTTATTATTTTGTTATGAATGATTTCAGATTTCTTGCATAAGTTCACCATTGTTCCCGATAATGATGTACCAGTCATTGATGGCGAATCCACCATGTCATCGCCGTTGTCTCCGGTTTTTCATCGTTTTCGTCTTCAATCTTGTAAGTGGACTAAAACGACGCTTTTACAATAGACGCCTCGCATTTGACTTCAAAGCGGATTTATCTGGGGGACAAAACGAAATTTTCTTTTTGTCTTGCAAACTAGAATCAATTGTTTTGTTCTCAAGATGGGTCTGCATAAACTGCATGTCGTGCAAACTAGAGACCGCTGTTGTCAAAGTCTACTTTAAAGTTAGCCTACCCGAGATGCTTGCGGAGGAGGCTACCAGCAAGTAGCCTTGAACGGAATAAAATTTCAACAATGTTTCTAATGCTTTGTTTATTTGACCAGTGGATGACCCTGGACCAGAGTCCTCCTCGCCGTCTAGTCCTAACGACCATAAAAAGAAAGTCCGTACGTGGGGTCCTAGCTCAGTTCATCAAAGGGAAAGGGAAAACCGCTCTAAACGTGTTAAAGTGAAGGATAATTTTCCGCGTAGTTTTTCACAAGAAAGATGTGCTTCGGTTCCTAATCTTGGGTCGATAGTCAACAAAGGTGATTACCATTGAATTTTGACTGAAACGTTGTAGCTTTTGGTTTGTTGTGATTTGAATATCAGTTGCATTTTTTTAGTTTTTTGTCTTCCCACTTGTGTTTGTTTCCTCGATTTTATTGGTTTTTGGTTGTTTCGCTGTTTCGTTTTTGTATGTTTGCTGTTATTTCATTTATGTTTGGTTTGTTTGTTTACCTGTTTGTTTGTTGTTGTTGAAGTACTCGCATCAATGAATTTTTGTTTTTAATTTTCTTCTCTAGATCATGAACGCAAAGCAGCCAGTACWGCAGGCAGCAGCCCTGTGTCATCTCCTAAAATGTCCAGGTCGAAGCCGCCTCGAGGGAAAACCGAAAAAGCGATATGTAGAATAGGAGCTATTGCATCAGCACTTGGGTTAGGTCAAGATTTTTCCACGGTTGCAAAAAGTATGAACGATGTTCGGCTGCGTTCAGGTAGTCGGGAGCGGCGAAAATCTCCGAACTCGAGACGAAGCCGCGAAATAAGTCGGAAGTCTTGGTTCGGAAGTTCAACGTCTTCCGAAACAGCAGACGAAGGGCAAAGAGATTCAATRTTCGGTTCGCGAAGCTTTTTACCTGACTTTGGTCGGTCAAGTAAACGTCCCGAGTCAACACCAGTGCTAAAGTCGGTTTCTTACGTTTCTGATTCGAGAAACCCGACGTCTAACCGAACGGCGGCACCTCCGACCGAAAACACATTGATTGATATATACGAAGTGCGCGACAGAAGGTCGAAGTCCCTTGGTGCTTACGAACTGAACGAAGTCGCTATACCAGAGGCCGAGGACTCATCGATTAGTAATTCAATTTCGTTACCTCGTAAACTATCGTCACCCACGGAGAGACGTCACAGCGGTGAATTTCAAGGAAGTCCTCCACCTCTTTCGCCACGTGCAAGAACTAGCAAAAATGAAATCAATGCTAACCATGTTCACAAACACTTATCAAATGTGAAAGGACCGTCATTAGAAGGAAGATTTGAAAATATCGTAAATGGCGATGAAAGTAGACGGCAAGTAACTGGAAAAATGACGGAACGASAGCGTCTGACTCTCTTAGACGTGAATGTGGATGGTCAACACGAAGACCGCACAAAGCCGCTRATTACGCCAGCTAATACCGTGCGAAAACCTCTGACTATCGAAGAACTCGAAAAAGAACTTTTACATTAAGTAAAAGGGGACAGAATTGTTTTTCTTCCGTTTTCTTAGATCAAAATAAGTAAAAATATGGCGCAAAATTGCTAACTGCGCAACGTTTTTGTAACCAAGTTGAAATTAAGAAAAGGTTTAAGAAAAACTACTTTGTTTAGATACTGAAAAACAGCACATTTTAGGAAACAATTTCTATARTTTAGGTACTGATTTATATTTCACATTAGTAAAAGCCTTATCTAGAATATTTCACAAGCGGCTAGAAAGAATCACACTATTTCAATACCAGTAGAATTTTTTATTATAAAATAATGTTCAATAGAGAAAGGCTTCCAACAACGGCGCGAGTCGATTCTCTTAAAACATTTTGCATCAAAAAGATATAAATTTTTAGCGAACATGCAGGATCATAATTATCAAAGAAATATTCCTTTCGGCCACAAGGAATGGGAAATAAAATTTGGGAAGTAAAGTAATGAAAGACGCAATTAGGATGGAAATATAGTACAACTGTTTCAAAAAGGTTTGAATGCAGTGCTGWAYAGGAGGTATAGTTCAGTATATATTTTTTGCCTGAAAAGGTTTAGGCTTTCTTAAAGCCARGGTACGTTTAGAACTACCATCTGATCAAACCTTTTTGAAAAAGCTGTATGCACTTCAAGGGTTTAAAAACCATATTCACATCCACCAATCAATGACGTTCATTTTCCGCATTTAAAATGATATAAATAATGTATTAGTTTATACAAAGAACGTTCAATTCATATGGGAAGGGAGGGTGATACTCCTTTATGGAAAAAAATATGTCATGTATACTTTTGCATGAGTTAATAACAAGTGATAGAAAATATTCTAAAAAATATGACCACTTTTCGTGCATATTTCTCCCATTCAAGTGTTGTAATAAATTCACCAATGCAATGAARATCTAGTGTGTTGGATTTTTCTAGATTCTCGTCTTTCATGGCCGGATCATCTCGCAAACTACCATGTTTAACTTTTTTCAAGTCTTGAGTTTACATGAGGGCAAAGATTATACAATAAGTCCGGTTTCATATTCAATGTGAGATGATTCTGCAGTATGTGCATCAAAGCCATTTTCACTGAGCACGATGAGGTTGCTTGTCGATCTTAAATAGACATTGAGAAGACTGAGATGTAAAAGGGAGCACGAGTAAACTCTCTAAGAGCGGGAAGCATCTCACACGAAGTTGACATGCGCACAACACCCAAACGTTTGCAAATTTTATTTTATTTGGTCAATCTGGTAATATAATCTTTTAGCATATTACATTATGTTTAAAATGTGTATAAAAATACTGACAGTTAATATATGTAGTTCTCTTATCTAATCTAGGAAAGTTTTACAATTCTCGATCCGTAWGACGGATACAATTTGTCAATGACAATATTCACATCTTGATTATATATAGATAATATATATTTCTTATGTAATTCATATTTCTCTTATGAATCAGCTTAGTTTTAATAGTATTCTGAGAGCCATTAGTCCGCACACAAGTGAAGCATGCGCTGAATGCATCAGCTCTTGGAAGTAAAATTGACTGATGCTAATTTTGTGGTGCGTTCATTTAGAATAGTACATTTTTTTACATCAATCGTAAAAGATTGAAAAGTTTCATCATTTTAAGTAAAATTTATATTTTTGCAAATGCAAACGACCGCAGAGGATCTCGGGAGAAAGTGAATCTTCAATTTCAGTCAGATTTCAGTCGTTAGGACTTCGTACGCGCCAGCGATACTCTCTTCATTATAACCAGTTGTATAAGTCGTGAATTAGATAATCCACCAGTAACAGCACGATTTTCTCATCGTACGACCGGCTCTGGCAGAGAACCGCGTGTGTTGGAGCCCCAACGACTGAAAACTGACCCTATAAAATTCACCAATAATATAATATGTACAATCCTCAATAAATRTTTACATATATTGCTAGAGCTGTGCATTAGCTAATAGTCTAATTTAGTCCGTTTATTTAATCAGTAAGAATTGTGTTGATGGTCCTGCTGTTTATGAAAAAAGAAAATTGTGCTTGATGTGTTTTTACAAATAAAGAATGGTTGCTGCATGTAATGTTTGTCCAGTTGAAACCGGGCCAACAGTTAAGTTGCGAAGGAATTTATGCGCATGCGTAATACAATTTCGTGTGTTCAAGTCTCTGTCTGACTGTCATCTAACTAGCCAGGGTTCCAATCAAAATTCGGTTAGTAAGACCCGATCCGATATCTATATACCTCAAATCTTACCCTAATTCTAATACAGTAATATACTGATGTCTGACATGAAGTACTGACACAGAATTTAATCTAATTTTTCAAGAGAAAATTCATTGTAGAGTCACTCGTGTGTAATCAAAATCCAACCTCGTTCCCAGGGCCTTATCCCTTCGCTTGGGGTCCCGCCTGACCCAAAGCGAAGGGAAAAGGCCCTGGGAACGAGTTTGATCGAAATCATGATCTTTGGCGCCAGAGGTTGACTTATGTAATAACTATCAGCGCAATATCGATGATCATCATTATATTAACCTTTACCGACTCAAAGATGCATGATTTTTGAATTAAGTTATGTGTATTTTCTCTCTATCGAGTTTATCATTTTAATATAGAGTGAGAACCTCTGGTGCCCAAAGCTTAGAAAAAAAGCATTTTTCAATTAAATATCAAACGTCGTACAGTGAACCACTGCGTGTTTTCCAGCAGGTCTTAAATACCTCTTGTCAATAATTCTACTCTAAGAGATTTATTTGTCATCTATTTTTTTAAATTATAATATAAAATTTATCAATATAAATTGCATCCATGCCTCCTGAACATCAAGTTCCGAGAGGGCATGGGTTCCKACTCATTGAAATTCAAATTYYTCTCTCTATACCTTCTCCCACAYGAAGCACTCGAAGGCAGCCGTTATTTCGTCACAGGGTTCTTTTARCTCCTTAAATATGTGGCATTTGTGTTTAGCGTCTCCCGTGACAACCGTGGAGAACGCAAAGAATTCTGGGTAATCTTTATGAGTTCTGATGTTGCTTATACAAGGAAATGGGAAAAACCGCTGGCCAACGTCWGGATATTGTGGATCTAACATCGTTACYCCGTCACTTGTTAGACAAAGGTCAACCTCTTTCATCTTCGGCGGARTTTTTGTCTGTTTTTCCATCTTCTTGCGTTCTTTTAAGAATTGTTTTACCGAATCACGGACGTGTTTCGGGCGCAAAGGTGGATTGATAACAGTTGAACATAAATAAGCAGTTCTGAAAGTGTATTCTTTCTCTTCYATGATTTCTGGACAGTCACTAGGCGAAGATAATTCGGTCTTCGGACGTTCTTCGGTTGAGCTCAGATTTAACGAAGTTAGGTTCGGCTCGCTAGTGTAGCTTCGGAATGAGGCTTTTAAGTTAAAGCTGTTTTTCTTCGGAGTAAGCTTTCGTAGCAGACGACCTGGTGAAGATACCTTRGTTTTTGAGCTGCTGTCTAGTGAAGTTTTTCGTTCTTTAGAGGAACTTTGATCTGAGCTTTCATCCAAGACGTCATTCTGAAACAAAAGCAAATATCACTTTAACATAGACCTTGCGCATATCAATCCTTCTCAAGTGTTATTAGAGCTATATTAACAAAAATTGAATTTCGCTTGAATTTCATCATTGGAATAGCACTGAGGAAATGCGCAGATGGGGCTTAGGAAGTTTGGTGCGAGTTACGCGCAAGAGTTACACTCGCAGGAGTTATCAGTGTCACGCTGTACTTTCAAACTTTAAAGTCACAAAAATCACACGTGACACTGATAAAATCTTCGAGAGATAAAAGTCGAAGCAAAAAAAAAGCGAGTCGAAGCAAGACACAGCAATAGTACGTAACAATGGTTTTCTTACGACTTACCACTGAACAGTGTCTCTCAAGCGAAGACGAAGCTTCTGAACTGCAAGAGCTTCGCACAGATCTTTGCGAATCCCTTCTAGGCTTCACAGAATTCTTTCTTCCTGGAGAAAATGTCGCCTGACAAGCGAGACGTATCGTCTCGGTCGCCGTCACGGATGCCGTGACACGCCCACAGCGGAATGCGTGACAATACATRCGGGTCTTTTCTCCCTGTCTTGCTTCTGTCACAATATACCCAAATAGTCGAGGGTCATCACTAAAAACCCCTAGGGAGAGTACCCATGAAATCGAATGGCGGTGCATAGTGTTGAGGTTGCTTTCATCGACTATGAAGATCTCTTCCGGTCGGATTTTGAGGGTAATGGGCTTGAATTCCCGAGGTTCTGATTGGTCAAGAAGGGCTAGTATGCTGTCATTAATCACGAGGTAAGATTTCTTGACCTTGACACAGCCCAAGTAGGTGAGGTGAGGGATGGATGTATAACTCTCGTCCACAYYCAGCCCAASAAAGGACGCACTCTCTGGACTGGGACGGAGATTTAAATGCTGTAAATTTAGAACAAAGACAAGTTTAATTCTATACAACGTTTTTACATAAAGGTRTTATTTTCAAATAGCAATAACTTTTTTTCGCCTCAATCGTTCTACAGGCAACAAGTGTCTTGCTATAGTTGGGGAGACCCAGACACACACATACTACCTCAACGCACACAACACTCCAACTGGACTTTAAGTTTTTTTTTTTTTTGTTTTTTGTTTATTCATTTATCAAACTACAAATCAAAAACACACACACATACAGACAAGCAATTTACAACTTTTAAAGAAATCACACTAAGTGTGTTTCTCTAGATTTTTTATATATATATATATATAAGTTAACCTCCCCAAAAAACTTTAACAACGTCCTGAAAGGGATTCAAGTACATTATGATGCAAAGAATGGATAATAAACAAAAGCAGGAAATCCTTTTCCGTAGATGAGCCTGCAACAATATRCGAAAGCGGTCATGATGACAGATTTGCTTTCCTGAGGTCAAAAACAAACGGGGATTTCTTTACTTCACAGTAGAGCACAAAGAACATAATAAACAATGTTCATATATGATTAAATGACGAGAAATAAATAGCATAGTACTTATAAAACGAATTAATTACAACATGGCGSGAAAATTGAAAAAAAAATGGTGGTTTTGGGCAAAATACTCTTCACAATTCATTATTTTAGAATTGTAATTATTACAATATGATGATTCAAAACTGTCAGTCACAAGAACTCAGTTGTGTGTGGCGGTTTTGTTTGTTGAGTTCAAGCACAAAAACAAGGTCGGATTTACTAAAAGYGACCCGTTTGGACGAATAATAACCGCCCACAGTGGGTCATGTGAAGTCGATGACATTGACATTGCTTGAAATCCTATTCGCCGTGAGGAATTATTCCATTTTCCTTTTTTTTCCTTTCGGTCCAGGAAATCGCGCACGACATGACTTCATTAATTTGGCTTGTTTCTCACCGATTAATTTCATGATTCCGAATCTCAGTATTCTTGATAAAAAATTGAGAAGGAAGAAAAACACACACAATAAAAAGACGAAATGGATTCGTGTCAGTGCGAGATAGATCTCCAGAAGGAGATAGCTTTCCCTCCATCTTGAAAACGCCCCGCGACCTCTATTACTCCGTTATGTATTCGATCCCACATACGAACTGTGCCGAGCAAACTGTGCACGACTATTTTCGTTCTTTATGTTTATTTTCCTTTGCAAGATAAGAGATAAATAGTCTAAATCAGATTTTCCAAACGTATATTTAGTTGACAGACCCGCCAGTGTGTCGACGTAATGTATTTGGCCAGGAAGCCGCGCGGTTCTTTGCGGTCTTTCGGCAGCCAWCTAAGTTTCCGTAAGTAGCCGACGCACACGTAGAATGGTTTCATACATACGTTCCGGTTGTCAAGGAACCCATATTTAGAAGGTATATTTAGGATTCAGGAAACAGAGATTGATAATAAACCATGCCTAAGATAAACACCTTAGTGAAAATCCCGAAAAAGAATCCTGTAAACTTGAATTTGCTTTATATGCCGTCATATATAAGTATTTACAATTTCTTTTGCGAAACACATATATAAATTGAAGAACAGCCTTTTCCTATGCGTGAGGGAATGAAAATATGATACTCGTTGAGGTTTCAAGGGCCTCTCGACATTGTTAAGTATGGTGTGCTTATAATATTTTGAGCAGAATATTCATAATATTGAGGACACAAGGAGTTAAAGTTTTCGCTATTTATATAAGAATTTCTAAACTTCAAAGGCTGATATTCACTTTCGTGATTTTTAAACGTCTTTTTTAATCAGAATGGCATCACTGCCGTCAATGTCGTCGTCCATCGATGACCTCCCCAAACACGATACTCAAGACGCGTCCGCGCGTCGCACAAAAAAGGCGGGAAAACTGTAATACTGGATTTTTAGCATTTTTTCAGTGGAAATCTCTTTTTACCGGAAATATATGCTTTCAATTACAGTTTTAGCATTCTCGTAATAAAATCAATACAATTAAAACACAATAACAATRTAAAAAAGTTTTAACAGACGACCACATTCATTTTTCGCTGTCTCATCCCGACAACATCCTGAGACATGGCCGCGGCGTTCCTACTGTGAACCGCCCGGTTTGTGCCGACATTTAGGCCAAAAATAACAAATATTTTGGCCGGAAAGAAAGGACAATATTTCAAATTTTTGTTGCTACGTGGATTCAAACGTAAACAAACAACAACTTCATGAAGTTCTTTTTTTTAAGGTTAAATGTTCAAAGCTAAAGTGTTACAATTTGACACAGAAAATCCTTACAGATGTTAACATACAACGTAAGGGTCTTAAAAACAAGTTGTTTCCAAGTCTGATTATCCAGATGTATTCGTTTGCACGGCATGTTTCGTGTTTAGTGCCAGGAATACCGCGGTTGGAGTAGGCTATCACGTATCAAAACAGAGCGCACGGGTGTGCTAAAAAAATCTTCAATGTGAATTCTTTTCCAGAAATTTCTTTTCTTGCTCTCACAAATAAATATGAATAAAAAAGCTGAAAACTGCGAGATTACTTATGAAACGTACATTGTATCCATTGAAGTCTAAAGTTCACTGGCTATCACGTGACAAGAATATGAACTATCACGACTAAGGCGGGTTTATAATAACCCCGACCACAAAGTAACTAGCCCAGAAAGTCWACTAACTTTGAYAATRATGKAAGAGTTMACCAAAATGGATTTGTTTAATGTAAAGAAATTAATAAAAAAAGACGTATTTTGTTCAGGTTTTTGTCTTTCTGAACTGTCTGGGTTTTGCGTAATCTTCGTATCCTGATTAAGAATCATTATATAGGATATTATTTCTAAATATAACTATTTCAATTTACAACAAAATAAAACTATTTCTATTAAAACTTAAGTTTGCCAAACTTTTCCCATKTTTMCATATTAAWAATACTRACCATCATGTTTGGGGCTCTAAAAGCGGTTTTGATGGTCGCYAGGATATGRGCAGCATGCTGTGATCGGACTATATAACAAGTTGAATTATCACCAAGAGGGCTGACAATAATCCCGAGAACGTTGTCGTCCCCTTCGTACAAGTTCACATGTCCAACTGCTTCAATATCYCAACTGGCGATGACTTCCCAGGGGGGGTAATCCGTGCTGATTCGAACAAGGTCAGAATTGACCTCGACGTTCACAAATGGTTCTTCTTCCACGTCGTTGCTTTTAGAAAGTACTTCACTAATAGTSGCCTGTAGTGTTTTATCATTAGAACGATGCACTGTAACTTTTTTCACAAATCGCGCACGYCATAGWCCAAGTGCCTCACTGGTAGATCTATTCCTAAGGTTAAGACTTTTAGGCCTCGCAAGACCCAAACCCCCCCTGGGAGAGGGAGGTCTTGCCTGTACGGCTGATAATGATTTGGTTTTTCTATTAGARTGTAAATCATTGTCTTGACTGTCTATTGATGAACGAGGAGATTCTAGTTTTCTTTCCACTTGAAATTCAAGATCGCTGTAAACTATGTCTATGGGATGGCTTCTGGTGCGCGCGCGAGTCTCCTCAGTATATTCCTCAACGTTTTCATATAATGATTCCACGTTTACTGTGTTTTCTTCTTCAGAAGATAAACTTTTTCCCTCAGTGCTGTTACTACTTATACTACAACGTGAAACACGGTCGCTTTCAACCAAAGGAAAAGTAATATTTTCATAGAGTGGAGTTGTTTTATTTTGATGTTTTGTTACCGGCGAATCGCACGGTGAAAGGTTCGGTGAGTTTTCGTACAAAACATCAACAAATTTGCGTACAAATCCATTCCTATTCTCGCCAGCACTRAATGAACGCTTGAGAAGAAGATGAGCCGGTAATTCTTTAGCGTGAATCCCTTGCGGATCCAGTTGTTTTAGTTTTGAATGTCCAACGTTGAATGAGTTACGTATGTTTTGAAGTTCAGATGCTAATTTATTGTCSGCGAGTTGTGAAAAGTCTTGTCTTAGTATTGGATTGTCCGATTCTCTTGTTGGTCTCGACTGAACAATCTCCGTAACRTCACAATCYTTTGCGTGAAGAATTTCTGCGTAATGCGCGGTATTTTCATCATCTTGTGCCGRATCGGGCGCAGTCGTTTCGGGTGAGTCAGAAAGACTCTCGCTATCTGTCTGGATTCCTATCGTGGTTACGGAACAATTTCTACTCCTTGTACTGCTCTGGGAACTAATACTGGACGAGCGACTTGTCTTTTGAGACCATGAAACAGGGGCAAAATCAGCAGGGATGACTTCATAGATGTCTTCTTCTGCTTCGTTAATGCTTTGTATTTCTTCATATTCTTGGTACACGGCGCTTATGGAGTCCAGCTCCTTCATATTTCTTTGCGTTTTACCGACCGTTTGTCCGCTTCTTATAGTCATGTCTTCATATATCGTTTCAGTTATTTCCATGGCCAGTCTACTTGATTCATGTTGAAGGCTGGTGTCGACTGGTACAATACGCCTCCAAGTACAGTTGGCATCCCGTCGCTCGAAGTGAATGAAAGCTTATCCCGCGCCGACCGGATTTCGTAACACTACCCTAGCTGTCAATCAACGTCGCACATCAGAAATGATACTTTGCAAATAACCGTGAAATAACAATAGTTTCTCGTTTAAATTGTTTAAATC